CCCCCTAAAATCCCCCTCCCATGGTGGCATAACTGTGTTCTTGGGCTTTGGGAATATACAAATGATTTTTATTCGATTGCTATTCAGACCACTTGCTGTTATATGACAATTTCATGTGTTTCAAATACATTTCAAGAATGTCGCATTGTATAATTGTTTTGTATCGCTGTTTACAAACAGTGCCATTGTTTCGATCTTGTTCCAAACAATCGGCATCGTGGAGTAAGAACTGTATGTCCGTCAGATTTTCCAATTCAAATCGTTTCTTTAGCATGTGGTTGTTTTATACTAAAGTATTCGACATATTTACGCGTGTTTTCATCTTCAATTCTTGTCTACCGCGTTTATCAGTGAAATTTTTAATAGGATTACATTAACGTGTAGGTATTATACATCAAAGTCCAAGTACCTACGTCGTCATTCGTGTTTTATTTCATAAAGTATATAAAAACTTTATGGTGTAGATAACGAGTGGTTGCAAAATAAAATTGAAAGACGAAATATCCAGAAATATAATCGTAATTTTCGGCGGCGGATGTTAAACGATTTCAACGTCAATTAAGCATACTTACGAGTTTTTGTGTCATATAATTACAAATAGCTTATTGTTATCAGTATAATGTTATTGTGTAATGTAGATCGTAAATATTTTTTTTTGATAAGATTACATTATTAAGCGTGTACGATTTTTTTTATTCCTCTCTTAAAGACCGGTAACACACCCTCTATCATAGGTGTAGGTACATGTGTTGCAGTAGCTGTCTCTATGGCTGCTACAGATTTTGTTTGCAAAAACAAACATATTTTACGTACTAACAACTTTTTTAAATATTGCTTTTAAGAATAAATTATATTCATATAATATAGTCTATGGTCAGGGATTTAGCATTCTAATTGTGAAAGAATTTTCAAAAAAGGTCTTTCAGTTTTGACTTAATCCGTTAAAAATGTTTCTATGAGCTATCGCTTCGTTAGTAGCTATTATATAATCACAAACAACTTTGTTGCCAAGTAATAATTAATTTTCATTATATTTTACGGATTATGATAAAAAATGTATGATAAGTGTGTTTATGATAAAAACGTTATAAGTAGGAGTCTTGAGGATTGTTAATGATAACTTATCAGTTACAAGTGGTTCTGAAATATTTGTACTACACGATTCGTATTTTGTGTTTGAAAATGTATAGAAGTAGATATACCTTATTGTAAAGTCACTCTACCGTATTAAGTTGATAGAAACACTGAAACATTTACCGATGTAACGCTACCTATGTTAAAATAATATACTAGGGCAATAAACATAGTATTATTAGTAGTAGGTTTTGATTTATTAAACACCAAATTCTTGTGAGTTCATTTTTTCGTAAATGTAATAGATTTAAAAACTACACGTCAATTTCGACTCTGGTATGTAGAGTTCGATTATTGGCTGTTGAATTCTCATCCTTGCTGTAAGAAATTTGAAACTTTTTATGTATATGTAACTCAGTTTAGATGTTATATGTCACAAATTTATCATTTTATTTGTTAGGTTAACTAGAATTGTTGATTCGAAAAGCAAGTCTTGGCAGTCATTCTTGAGGTCGGGAGATCATGTCTGGGGCAGTTAACACGTGCTCGTACTTTAAACGAAAACGAGGAAACTGCATATTTTATGCCCAAATTGATGTTTGTCACCAAAAAATAATCTAGGTGATTATTAGAGAGAATTATTAAAGAGAGGTAGGAATAGAAGTAGGAATTATTTATAAATAAATCCAAAGTCACTACCGATATTTTGGTTGCAGCTAACAAATAAATGATTTCGATCATGTTAACTTTCTAAGAAAAAAAATCTCCATATTAATCGGTCCATTCGTTTAGAAGCCACTGATTGACACATCAAAGTTCTTAAGCGATCCGGCTTAAAATATTTAAGTGTATATTTTTGTTTCATTGTGTGTTTTTATATAGCTGAGCGATGTAAGGGAAATCTAAAATCCATAATAATTAAATTTTACACTTTATTCGCTACTCCTGTTTGCCTCAATTTATCACCTCACTAAGCAATGAATTAAACATGAGAATTCAGGACCCACCTACGATGTTATCGAAGATAGTCGTCGCCTTTCTTTAGTTTATTGAGTTTAACCTTAAATATGCAATGAATATTTATAGCTTCCAATACGTTGTCAATTTACTTAAGTAATTTTATAGTTTTTTGTTCTTTTTAGTTTCCTTTTGTTGCTAAATTTAGGAACCGATTAAGATATAAATCATATCAACAAAAGCGTGTTCGTCCTACAGGGGTAAAAACGACATGACATTTTAAAAATGGAAGTCTGATCTTGTCTTGATTATAATTGGACACAGTGACAACACAAAGTGTTGCTTTCAAACTGATTTCTACACGGTCAGGCGGAGAAGGGCTGTATCGGTACTATATCGTATTTGAAATACAGCAGCATAGTAAAGGAATCGTGGTAGCCCGTATTTTTACATATGACGGCTCTGGGTGCGGTTTGCCATACGCTAAATTATAAACAGCTAAAATAAATAACAAAGTTCAGTTAAATAAACTCCTATTAAACCGTTCTATGGATTTTTGTGACCGAACCAAATGTGCATGCTAAGACCCCGTGTTCGAGTTCAGTAACTTAACAGTTAATGTTAGGAAATGTTAATGCTTTGATTAAACAGTTCCCTGTATATTGACAGTTGCACAGGCAACATCAGTGTAACTGTCTATCTATTATCGTTGAGGTACTAACAACCATTGCCGTTACATATGGTTCGAAAGTCAAATACAAATTTTTAAATTTCGTTTGAATACAGACTTACTTTGACTAATTATATATATTTATATAATCTTATGTTTTTACATATTAATATTTTTCATAGTAAAATACGAAAGTTAAGTTGACTTCAGATCACCAGAAGGAGATTCGGTGTTTTTTCGTTTACTCATTATTTTTTCCGGTCAATATCTTGTTGACTTATATCTCGAGAAATCGCTGGACTATGCACCTCCGTTCTAAATTTATGTTTTCATAAAACAATGGGCAATTAATAGCTTGTCTTTGTCCCAAAGGGTCCATTAAATAATAATTTAGATACAATACGACATCCAAATTAGCCTCCTAGGATTTGTGTCCTTGTAATAAAAACTTATTAAATCAAATATACTCTAGTATATAAATTAAACGATTATATTTTTTTAAGAGGAAGTTAATGATAAGTGAAATATAAATAAATATGCTTTTAAAACAACACACACAACAGTGGTATTAATATTGATTTAATTGTATCATGAACTTTAGTTTAATTCGTATAAATCGAAATTAACGCCAGTTATTTAACTTTATGGTAAAATTACAATACCAAGCATTGTATTGTATTGTACCAATTAATTAAAAAGAATAACTCATACAAGACCTTGATGAACATAATATAGTAGTTCGAGTAAACACCAACCTATGCAAACGTACAATTATTAGAAATATTTCGTTAAAAAAATATTTCCATTTTACTGACAAGGACAAATACGGATAATGTTCTAATTAATATTTATGTTACGATAATGTCGATAACGCGAAATTTAAATAGATATTTGAATACAAAGCATTTCTTTGCATACATTTTAAATTATATTTTCACGTTAGTGTTCAATGAGGAATCTTACGATTTAAACTGTATTTTACATCGTAATTTCGTGATTTTAATAGGGTTTCTAATGATATTTTTGGATACCATTCACAGGTAACGTTTGTAACTAACTAGCAATCTTTAAAAATAAGTACATTATGAAGCGATAAACAAAATAACCTTTTCCGATTACATATCATGGACATTGACTTCATTAGGAACCAAGGAAATCTGTTGTCTTAACAAGACGGTTACGGAAGTTCATTGACGGCTGATAATCTTTCTGTGAAAAAGAAACTCCTCGTGGTTATCATATCACCGTATAAATTTTTATATGTGATATTATGATATTTTTAAGTCATTAGAAGACGGAAGAATATGGGAAATCAACGTAGTTTTTGGTAGATAGTTATTTAAATCCTAGAAAAATATTATATGTTATATAAATACTAGAAAGAATCAATATTTCTAAAATAACACTTTTATGACGTTTAATATACTTACTATTATCATTTAAGATTTAGCCTTCATATTATTGTTAAGAATTTTTTTATACAGTTACCAAATGTAGGTATGGAATAAGAGATTATTTACGCACATCGTACTTTAATTAATATTCGTATTATGCAGGTATTACAATAAAACTAAATTGAACGTGAAATTTATTTTTCATTAAATTCCTTGGTTTGAAGGACTAATTTAAAATGTATTTAAACAATACTATTTCGTGGGTATTTAAAAAATAATATATACCTTTAAGGAATTAATATATACCTATGTGAAAAGGTTTCAGGGTTTTTATACTACCGTCTTAATAACAAACACAATACATTTCTCAAATATGAACACAACTTGAGTTGATGTACCAATCAATGTACACAAATGTGTATTTCGAACTGAGTTGCCGCGACACCGCTCTCTCTGATAATGCTATCGGAATTGCCACACAAACAATATTATCTTGTTTATTTTAAGCACAATAATATGTGAGATTTATCAGTTTGGTTATAACATTTAAAGTAATTGTCAGTATAAATTAATTTTATAAGTGTGGCTGATGGTTAAGTGGCATTGCTTTAAGCAGCTGAAAAGATACATAATTGAAATTCATGATAAATAGGAATGATTTTTATATTTGTTTTCTTATTAAATTAAGTAACACTGACTGACGCCACTTCACATTTTTCATATATGTATAAAACAAACAAGTATCTACCTACTCATTGATGCTACTGTATGTATAATATGGGCGATAAAACATTTTAATTAAGTAAAATATTCATCATTTTATTATTCACGAATATATAATAAAATGTATATTTAAATACCTAAGGTTCGGGTTCGTGTATCTTAGGGTTACTTGTATTTGGTAGATTGCCGTCGGCCGCAGTACTAGAGACCACACGATCGATGTGGACCTGAGCCTTGAGGGTCCGGCTGCTAAGGTGTCCAGGAAGCAGGCCACAATCAGACTAAGGAACAGTGGAGAGTTCTTTATGTCATCGGAAGGCAAACGGCCCGTATTCATCGACGGGCGCCCGGTGCTTCAAGGGAACAAAGTGAAACTGAATCATAATAGCGTGATTGAGGTGAGCTGCATCCGCGCAATTTTAAAGATTTGCTGTTGTTTTAGGCGTTTAGAAAAAAATAAATGATCACGAAATATATACAAATCTGAGGCCCAGACCTAAAATGTTGTAGTGCCAGATTTTTTTATGTTGGATTCATATACAAGAATATATAATTCCAGATAAGGTTATTTGTTTGGGTTTGACTAAAATACAAATAAATTTTGTTCTAAAATAACCAAACCCGACGCCCCAACCATACAATAATGATGTACCCAGTACTTTCTATAATTTACTAGGTGATTGCGGCGGCTCGAACAATTGGTTTTATGGGCTAGTGTGTCAATGTCAACAGTTGTGGTGAAACTGGAAGTACATTTGCGTAGGTTACTTTTGTCTTAAACGTTTCTTTTTGTCCACAGATCGCGGGTCTTCGTTTTGTGTTTCTCATAAACCAAGAGTTAATAAGCGCCATTCGCCAAGAAGCTGTTAAAGTTAATATACCTACATGAGAATAATAAAGGTCATTTACATTAAAAATGCATTTTTATTGAGAACACGTTTATTTGGTCAATTTTATATGAATTCTCAAAACTAGGTTTCACTCAAAAAAATATATACCCAACAAATTCTTAAACATTCGTCACTCACACATTAAGATACAGAGTGTTCCACTAACGTGTATCACGGTACACTATCACGTGCGTTTCTGGCTTTAATATTAACACCAAAACAAACAATTAAAATTATTAACTTATACCTTAACCCTTACTTAGTTGCAACCCTTAATAATTATTTAAAATAATAACAATGGCCATCAGAGTGCACAAAAACGATCACGCAGTAGTGCTAACAATCATACATATAAATGGGAACTTATTTCATAAAAGAAGGAACGTGTGATATCGGTCAATAGACTCTATTTACATGCTAAGCCTCAAAATAAAATTTAAAAACACGACAAAGAACAATCAATAGCATATACCCTTTACATTTGTACATACTGTATAATAAAATTACTTAACAATATTTTATAAATACCCTCCTTAAATATAATAATACCACTATAATAATTTAAAACAGTTCTGTTAGATCACACAACATTCAACGCGCTTAAAATTCTTATACATAGGTTGATTACATTTATCAAAGGCAACATAGGTAAATAAAAGCACATTATTTGGTATATTTTTATAACACCCTGTAATTTGAATATATGGATAGGCACAAGGTGTAACAGTAGTATGATGCCTAAATATATATGAGATCAGTGAATCTTGAATTTCAGGTGTAATAATCACAATATTTAGTGATTTTAAATATTATCGATGCCGATATTAAGCAAAAATAATTTTTAAAAGATGCCTTTTTGATTCGCCATCTGTAAGCCAAAAACAGTCGACACTGTCCAACCATTGTGTGCACAGTATGGAATACATATTCTTAAGGCTTTTATCAAAAAACTCGTTAACGTGTGGATTCTATGTTAGGCACGGCATTGAAGTATGAGAAAATTCTCTGATTCTTGGAGTAATTCCCTCTAGGCACTTTGTGTTACACGTCATAAATATATTCTAGAAATGTATAAGCCAAAATTTCCAAAATATGAACTCCCTAAAATAACAGTGATACAAAAGCATTCTTACATACAATTAATACTCATTAACATTTTTGTGAGTATTGGCTTTGGTTATATTATCAGAGCTACCCATGACCGCGCACGGCACAGCCGGATTCAGCGGTGCTTCCATACGATATAAAAAATATCATCAAAACGATACATTATTATACCAACCTATCAAAAAACTCGTACATCACAATACAAATCGAATATTTTTGTACTTCACCCTTAATTACAGGTACCTACTAGTTCATTCAGAAATATATAAATATTCTGTGCTTAGAAAATAGATGAGCAATATTTATTTATAGATAACTATTATGATTTTGAGTTTTACATATTTACATATTTTTGGTTTAAAAACAAAACTTAAAACTATAAGCTACATAACTCTTTGTGTTGAATAATGATAGTATTCTTGTATATTTGTAAATAGCTTGGAACATAAATAAGGAATGACATTATTATCACTATACTCTTAATAATTAGCTACAAGAATCTAGGAAAGATACATATATATATAAGTTACATAACAAAATGTTCAACTAATTTTTTTTTTAACTGTAACATTAAGATAACAGTGCAAAATATATTTTATTAAAGGAATGTAAAATGGAAACAAGAACAATAAACTCTCATAATCATAACAAAATTACTACAGATCTGAAATTTTTATATGATTAAAAATAATTAAAGTTATAATTACTACAATAATTTTATTTTCTTTACTAAATCACACTAATAAATTTTGGCTTTCATTTGCAGGTCTACTAAAATATTGTAAACAAGGTAACTATATTATTTATACAAAATACTAAAAAAAGGAATGCTGCAAGATGGTGGGATATATTTGGAATATGTGGCATTGGACCAGTTTAGGAAATTGAACGGTAATTACAAATCAGTAATTATGTTTCAATCTAATTGTATACTTTAAATTACCCGATGATGGATGGTCTAATGTGGGCTGAGAAATAACAAATTTTGCCGTGCATATAGATTTATACTTTTTTAACTTCTCTTCTAAAACAAATGTTTTCTTTCTATGACAATATACCGCTTTACGTTTATTTCTCTGAGCCATTCTGTCGATAAACTCATTTCTTTCAATAAATACCCAAGGTTGCCACTTTCTACCAGTTAGATCTGGATTGTATAGTTTTTTTTTTATTGATGTGCTGGCATAATGTGCTCCGTTTTCATGTTTCTTTATAAGTACTTTAGGAATGCAATGTTTCGTTTTTTTAAATTTATCTTTATGCATTTTGAATTGAATCTCATCAATACTTTTAAGCACATCCTCAAACTTGGGCTTCACTTTTTTACGAACATCCTGTCTCATAGTAGCTTTCTTATGAGTGGATATTGTACTAAATAAAGGCTCTCTTTTACCTAACTTTAGTTCTTTTAATTTATTTAAACTATTCTGAGGTAAGGGTAATTTAACTTTAAGATCATGTGGCTCAATTATAGGTGGTATATATTTCTGCGCTGCTTTTGTTATCAAAGGTCTATAGTTAGTATTGTAATCGTTGTTTTCAGTAAATTTGTACCGTAACTGCTGGACATTATCAGACACATTATTAATTTCTGATCGTCTCGAACCATTTACACTTGTAATTTTTAACAAAATACTTGAACATTTATCCTCTGATGTAGTTGACGACACTTCCGGTGAACTAGATGCGGAATATTTACAATCGTTACTTGCTAATGACGTGTTATTAATCAACTCACAAGATTCAATGCGTTTTTCATCACCATTGTATTTATTTAAGTCATCATTATCGTCATTTATTTTTACTGAAGACTCGATATCTCGATCTTCCCCGTGTTCTAATATAATATCGTCCTCATTTCTATAACTTCTATCTAATAGAATAGGGCTGATATTTGGATTAAGGATTTCCGAGTATCTATTTGGAGAAAGTAATACATCATCTTTATTGTCTAATGAATTTTGAGATTCAATGTCGACCAGCGTCTTGTTAACATTCATTTGTGGCATTTTGTATAACGTCTCGACTATTTGCATATCATTCATGCACATGTTTTCTCCATATATTTCTTTTATTCTAACAATATGGTCACTCTCATTATCTGTGCATACACTGTCATTGCTTGACAAATTTGAATTTTCAGGGGATACAGGGGCACTTATTGTAATATCTACAGCGACATCGTCATTGAAAATGTTCTCTACATAGCTATCACCACCTAACCATTTTTCTTGGTTAAAATCATGCGTTAATGAACAGTCTACATTTAATTCAGTACTACCGAGAATGGAATCATTTTGAAGTTCTTTATGAACTTCATAAACATTGGCGTCTTCAGTTACTTGCAAGAATTCTGACGATTCTACATATTCCATATTGCTAGATTCACAATCTTCTTCTGCTATTATATATTCATTATCATTTATAAGAATTAAGAGATTGTCATTATTACATATAGCAGAAATGGATTTTCTCCTATTATTTTGTATCACATCACAAACATCTTCTTCGTTTGCACGAGACTCAATAAAATTCTCAAATATAAGCCTGCGTCGCTTATTTGATGAAACTTTATTAAAACTATCATCACTGTATAAATCAATAGCAGAATCTGATAAGGATCTTTTTAAATCAACTCGCTTCGGAAATATTACATTACTTTTTAACTTCTCTATAGGTATTTCATTTAAATCGTGATCTCCATTATTCGATTCTATGTTTTCTCTATCGACGCTTCCTATGTTTTCTTCTTGAATACAATCAGGGCCAACATGATTTTTACGTTCGTAAATTAATATTTGGCTTGGATTAAAGAGTTTTTCTATTAAATCATGAGACGGGTAATTTGGCGTGGAAGTGGAAATGGTATCATTAATATTTCTTTCTATTTCTTCCACACACTTATCATAATTGTTTTTTTCAATTATCGATCTGTTATCGACGTTGGTAAAATATTTCTCATGTTTAATGTCCTCAGTTTGTTTTTGAGATGATTTGACACAAAGTCCTGAACTAAAAATAAACAGTTTTTGCATCCACGGTGAAAAATATGCTTTTCTAAAACATCTTTTATAAAAGGATTTCTTATATGTAGAAAAAGTGTGATTTCGAATGTGATGTTTGACTACGTCATCTGACACTTCATTATTTCGCAAATCGTTATTAACGCATGATGAAATTTCACTATTCAGTTTATTTTCATTTATCACCATTTCTTTGGGTGCCAATTCATTTAGACCATTATTACATGACGATAAAGAACTATCATTATTGTGGTTTAAAGATGCATCTCTATCATCTGTCGGCATATTTGCTATTGATATTTCAGATGTATCCTCAATGGTTGAAAATAAATCATTTTGATTATTGGATTTTAAAGACTCTGATGGAAATTGTAGACCAGTTGTGCAAATAATATTATGTTTGCTTAAATTTTCTTGCATAATATCCTTTACTTCTTGGTCTTCCTTTTTTGGTTCAGAAGGAATTTGAAATATTTGATTAACGCCAGCATCCGTGTGTGCTATAGAGTCAGGCCAAGAATTTTCAAATTCGTTTGCTTCATCTTTATTACTTTTCTTAACATTTGAATCGTCCTTATTATTTGTGTTTGTATCTTCTTTAACTTGCAATTTGCAAACTTGGACAACGTTTAAATTATTTTCTATAATACTTAATTCAGAAATAATTTTGTCACTACGCATTGCCCTTTGTTTACATATATCATTTTCGTTATATTCACATAACTCCGACTCTGCATTTGAATTATCCAATTGCATAGCACATTGCGCACGTCTAGGTTCATTATTTACATTTTCATAATTAAGAGTATTTTCTACAGAGTTTTCTTCAGGTGGATTTAAGTTTTCGATGTTTTTTGGATGAGCCGTAT